TACTCTTCTCTTTCGGACTTCGAGTTGCATTAAAATCACACGTGAGCCGCCAAGGCATATCGATTTTCTTACTTTATTTAACCAAACTGTTCCAGATCCTGTGCTACTGGTTCGGGTGAGGAGAGGCATAGACTGTCGTGAGCATCCAAGGAGCTTCGTCCCCGTGAGAAATGCTCTTAGATAAGTGTTGATTGCAAGCCAAAACAAGGGTTGCAGAGAATTTCTTGTTGTCCCAGAATACCCAAATGTCTGCTTTCTTTCCATCCGCTTCCACTCTCAAACATGAGAGTAGCCCAGAATGTCACAAAGAGTATTTGCAGTATTCCCACTAATGTAGGGTTCAAGCATGATCACTAAGTTTGGTCGTTTGGTTTCGAGGACCATCTTCAAATATCGCGCAAAAGCTCTACTCCCTGCATTACCTACATTCCAGAACAAAACTTTGATAGAATTTGTATGAGACATAGATAAGAGATTAAAAAGAAAAAGGAATGGATGAATCAAAAGGGAACGAGATCACCAATTAGATGGGGGGAATCGATGTTTGGGTCTCCCGAGAGGAAGACATTGAGCTGGCTGCTACCGGCGGTTCTTCCTTGTTCGACTTCATTGCCGCAACATTTTTCCCACTTGCTCCAGTCATTAATTTCCTCGAGATTGAGAGTGGACAGGCATGATTTTGTTTTACTTTTCTTCTCCTTCATCAGGGACCAAATTTGGAGTTGTTTGAGCAGATTTTGTTTCATCGAAGATCCCTTACGGGAATGGGATTTGGAGCTTTTGCTCTGCTTCTACCTTTCTCCCATCGTCGGTTGTTTGGGACTCGTGTGCGACAATGGTTTGAAGGAAGGTTTTTGGGCCGAGATTATCTGGATGTTGGTACCATTTGGCCCAGTCAAGGACTGAATGGGCATGTTGAAATCAGATTGCATGGAGACAGTGGCTTGGGCAGCTAGCCCAATCTTTGACATGTCGGGGGTAGATGCAGTAGATGGATCCTTGGCGATGTGTGAGAGTGAAGCTTCTATGGGGTTTTGAGATGGATTGGGCCCAAAGTTGTTGGGGAGGAAGGGGTCGTGGCCCAGCAAGCCTTTAGAAGATGGTGGAGTAACAAAGCCCACATTTTCCTTACCTTTTCTAGCTTATTATTTGCCCCTGCCAGCTACCAAGGTTTTATGCTCAGAAGCATTTGTCTGTTGGGAAGCCTGGACAAAAGGAGAGGGTCGCCCACAAGCATCTCCACCTTCCTTTCTTGCCAATATACTCTTTCAATTTTTACTACTATTACCTTGATTCAGTTTTCCCTCCTTCATTTCCTCCTTTCCTTTCCGATTGAGATCCCGATTATTCCGTCAGCTTTTTTTGGTAACTATCATCCAGGTTCTGAAGCCTGCGCTGGGTTCCGTCACCATCTCGTCGGAGCTTTCCGAACCCAAAAATCTGGCCACCGTCAAATTCTCGGCTTGAGAGGGTAGCCAGAGCTTTGGGCAGGAGACTGATGAGTGACCAACTTTGTCGCACTCGAATCAAACCTCTGGGAGGTTTTCGTACTCGATCTTCTGGCATTCCCCATCGAGGTGAATTTTAAATATTAGGATTTTTTATAGATTAATCTCCATAGAAAGGCGTGCGAATTTGGCTCGTTGCTGATTCACTATGTGGTAGTCGAGCTTGATGGTATGCCCAATCAAATTTCCAATAGAGATTAAGAACTCTTTGTGATAAAAATGGATCGGGAGGCTGGGAAGCCGGAGCCAGACGATCATCTTCTTCGGAAGAGGGTCAGAGATTCTGAAACTTGGGGTCCATTGGGGGACAACCACATAGTGATCGAAAATTGTCCACGGTCCATCGGTGAGAGCTTTGAAATAATCTTGATTGTTTTCCAGCTTCACCATGTAGCAATCTTGATCCAAATACCTCACTTTCATATGCCCTATCATGCTCCATTGCGCACAGAGCCGTGTGCATAGAGTGGGAAAACCCACCTTAATCCCCAACAATCGAACAACAAGTGTTCTTTGTCAACGAGCATAGAGTCTGTTCTTGAAGCCCGTTGAGATTTTTAAGGCTGGTTCCCCATTGAAATCTCCTGGTATGAGTTCATGTTCTCCAACCAGAGTCCACTGGCTGCTTGGCCCTCTTGAATTGCCAAAGTTCTTTTTTTCGGAGACCGCTGCAGCATAGAGAAACCTCTCACCATCGGGGAGATCTTGAGCGTATTTACAAGGACAGAAGCCAACGTGACCTCCATCTCCTAGTATGAGGTCTGGTGATGTCAACAGAAGAGAGGTATCAGAGGCCGACCCAGTGGGTTGGTCATCGATGTCGTGGATTGTTGGCGAGCATTTCAGAGTATCATTTTGGGAAGTGCGACCACTACTACTTTGTTTCATGTTTGTCACTTAAACTTTTTATTGAATTAATGATCCATTTAATTAAAATAATATTTCTTTTTGGTCACTGACCATTAAATTTCGATATACTCCATTAACGCCAGTGGCACAAAATCGATAAAGCATTCAAGCTCAAACCACAAGCAATCAATTGGTAATCAAAAGAAAGAGAAATTCATGAGGGGAATGAAAGAATCGAATGAATCTGGGTGGACTGACTCCATACAATACCAAAAGAATTCGTTAAATTTGGCGGAGATAAAGATTGAATAATAGAAATTGCTCCTCTCACTCTAAGATATATGCTAATCACTTCATCTCATATTGCTTACTTAATTTAAAAGCTTAGTCATTGTAAAATCGTAAGAAGGGAATGAACTTATGGAAAAGGAGGTAGGACTTGAAGGTCGAAGATGCTAGCATTGCTTTGATGTTTGGACTGGAGCGTTTAGCTTGGTAATATGCTGGTGAAATCATCTATAAGGAATTCACCTTCACGGGGAAGAAGAGGAGTCCAGAGGAGAGGAATGAAGCAATTTAGCTATGGTGCTCATAGACATTTTTGTGATATACTCACACGCTGAGGATAGAGGCCACGGGGGCGGCACTCAGATCCAAGGGTTGGGGCTCAATGGCTCATTTAAGTGGATTTGGTGGCTTCTCGGCTCAAAGGCAAACCAGCCGAGAAAACTAGCATCCAGAATTCAAAAACTAATATCCTAAATGCAATAACTAGTATTTAATGTCATCCACCAACTATTCTCACATGGATAGAGAAAGCATCCCGGACTAATATTCAACCCAATCCAGTATCTGCTTGTGTTGAAGTAGTATCCATATTTTGTTGAACACTTGATAGCATTTTGTTTTAATGAACTAAATTCAATAGAGCACAAACTAAAATCTAGACGCACATAGCTATATTCAACCAATCAATTGCCAACTAATATCCACAATCAAACCAACTAGTATTCAAAGTTTCTTAACTGATATCGATCAGTACACTTGATAACATTTCGATATCAAGCAGTATATATGAACTAGTAACCACTCAATGATGAAGTAGTATCCAAGTATACATGAGACGACAAACTAGTATCCAGAGAGCCTCACATTCACGAACTAATATCCAGGCAACACAAAAGACTACCCATACTTCACAGAATTAGTATAAAAGCCAATCATTTACGAACTAATATCTACATTCAAAATAACTAGTATTCAAGGTTTTCTAAATGATATCCAACATGAAAACAATATGTATTCCACATTCACGAACTGATATCCAGATTACACAGAAGGGCATCCATATTGCATAGAACTAGTATTCAAACAAAAAAAATGCATTTACGACTGATGTCCATGACATTAAATAGCAACAATCTACCAAAAAAACTCCATAAAAGCCAAGAAACCAAAAAATCCATAAAGGCAAAAAATCCAAAAAAAAAAAACCATAAAGGCAAGAACAAAAAAAAAAAATAGAACAGTCGGCAGAGAGGAAAACCCAACCACAAGGAACGAAACCCGTAACATCATACCTCCATTAGAGTCACTCCATGCTCCAAAGATCCAAAGATGAGCAAGACAAATAAGATCTAAATTCCTAGAGAAAAGGGAGAGTCGAATTTTCAAAATAAAAATGACAGACAAGATTTCTCAAAACATAGGTTACTAGTATTTGAATTTTTTATATTATTTTTGCATTTTGAATATTAGTTCTCTCGGTTGGCTTGACTCTCAGCCAAAAAGCCACCAAAATCCACTTAAATGAGCACTTGCTTGAGCTATCGAGCTCTAGTCCTTGAATCTCAACTCCACCCACATGGCCCCCATTCTCACTATGTGAGTATATACTCACAATTTAACCTTTAAGCATATTAACTTTTTCGAGAAGGAGTATTGTCACGACTGTTTCTCTGCGAATCGGAAAATTGGAGGATTCGACAATGCAAGAAAATGAAAGCACACACACGATACGCGATTTACGTGGTTCACTAACACAATGTGTATTAGCTAATCCACAGGTAGGAGAGAACCAGTTTCACTATACTTCGAGGTGATACAGATTATAGAGGAGTATGAGAAGTATTTATAGTACTTCTCCAAGGTCTAACCCTTATCCAATATGGTAAAGGAAAAGCAGTTAGAGACCAAGCTCAGAACACGAACCCAAACAACATTGAGCCTATACACCGTGGGCCGGGGGAGTTGCTCCCGCATCCACACTGCGACGTTGCCCCTCGACCCACGCGCTAATCGGACAACTAGACCGCATGACTTTCAGCCGTAGCGACTGATAGTCCGATTCAAATCATATCAACATGTATTACTAGCCACTCTTTTTCAGTGGCCTTTTAGTTAGATCAACCAGTTTAGACAGAGAGAATCGGATCATGGGTGGGAGGCTTCACTCATAGGGTTATATTATGTGCCTGTTAGGTTAAATTTGGGTGACTCAGTCCAACTTTGCAAAATCCACGTGACCAAACGAAGTCGTAAGCAGAAAGGGAACTCACGTCAGCTCGCTGTAAATCCGTCCGAAAGCATATATGAAAAAGTAGTTTAATTATTCATTGCCGTCAGAAAGAGAATAAAAAAAAAAAACGCATCTCAGGACAGTCAGACAAAATTTAGCAGAGGTCGCAGAACTAACTCGCAGAGAAAGGAGAGATACTGATTCCGAGCTGAGAAAGCAAATTGTCTCGCACAGATCCGTCCACCCAAGGTAAGATGCGCGGCCGCGGCGGTGGCGGCAGAAGTGGCGGAAGGGGCGGCGCAGGGAACTACACGAATCCGTGCTTGACTATGCACCAGCCTTGGGCTTCTCTCCTTGTCTACGGAATCAAACGCATCGAAGGCCGATCGTGGCCGGCTCCCCTTCGCGGTAACTAAATTCAAATTCCTTTAGCTTCGTCGATTCCCAGACATCAAAAAAGGTCCCAATATTTTGCTCTTATGAGTTTAGCACCGGAGCGGCGAGTGGCATCGATTTATTCCAGTTTGCGTTAAAAGAATGGAATTTTACTAGCTGGAAAACTTTGGCATTCTTCTGTATCTTTTTGGTCAATGAATGATGTTGCTAATGGGTTTCTGAATCAATGATTGTTCAAACGTTTTCCAACTTCAATTGGGTCTCTTGAAGGCCGTCTGTGGATTCATGCTGCCAGTAAAGTTCCCGAGCAAGATACAATCAAAGCAATGGAAGAGTTCTACAAGGAAATCTATGCACTGAATGGCGTTACTGACATCAAGTTTCCAGAACATTACCCTGTTTCCAGACTCTTAGGTATCTAAGTGATAGCACTTTGTCATTTGTCCTTTTTAATTTCATGCTGATTGCTAGATTTTCACTTTCTGATTATGATATCGAGCTTCAATCTAATACATGATGTTAGCTATTAAGTTGAACTTGATATGATGCTCTTCCATAACCTAGACAACCTGAAAAAGATTCTCTTAGCTTTGTCGATGGCACTTGGAAATCCTAAGGGGGCACTTATTTCCCATTCTGGTTTAGGAATACGGATTCTTTGCATTTTGACTTACCTGCCTTGGGTGCTTGAATGCAGAAATGTTTCCCCTTGGTCCAAGTGCAATACATTATCCGTTGTGACCCTCTTTAATGGAAATTTTTTTTAGTGAAATCTTAAGTAGAAATTTTGTTTTCTGGTGCTGTGGCTCCCATTCATAGGGTGCGTTGAGGTAGTTGGGTGTCTAAAACTGGACGAGCTGGCAAGCTGGGAGGCCATACCAGAAGGGGTAGGAACTCTTTATTTTTTCTGTGAAAATTTTGTGTTCTTCTCCTTTCATCCTTAGATTGATTGTGTTTGCTGAACCCTCTGGTGTGACTATTTGACATAAATCCTTTTGTGACAGGTGAGGGTAGAAGGACAAACTGATATCTGAACTTATTGTTACATTCTTAAAGATTTCGGAGAAGTGCCTGATTACTTGTTTCTTCTTGCTCAATTTATGTAGAAATTGCTTATTCCATTCGAGATGAGAGGTTTTCAAGGTGTTTATAACCTGGAAAGGAAGGTAACTCTTATTAAATAAGTCTAAGCTTGTAAGCTTCTGCATCTATGCCTCTTGCGGAAAGTAAATTGCTGAACTTTTTCACAGATATATGAGTCTGCAGCTAGAGGCCTTGTCCCTGTGGAAGGTCCACTGCCTGTAAAATTTCCCCTTCCAAATCCAAGGGATCCTTATTCGTTGAGTCCTGGTTCTGTTAGCTCTCAGTCCACAGCAGGACACACAACTGAAGTCGAGAAGTCATCAAGTCTTGTTGTGGCCATTGCTTCCGCACGTGCAGCTGCTACACAGTTCAACAAGAAAGACCAAAATCATGCAATAACTACCGTTGAAAGCTCCGCTTCCACTAAGCAGTATGAATTGAGAAGCAAGTCTTCTGAACAGAGAAAGCTTTCACCAGTTAGCTTGCCTCATAGTTGTGATGGGGAACCTTCTACGTCAAATGAGTCGAAACCTAACAATGACTGCATGTCTGAGCAGAGTAGCAGACATAATAGGGTCACGGCAGGTTCGGAACAGCTCCCCAGAGCTTCCCCAAAGGTATATGAACTGTTGTGTTTTTCATTAATCAGAGGAAGGAGGAAAAGAAGCAAAGGAATTAAAGAAAGGAACCCATTTTTGTTTGTAGTTCTCTAAACTCCTAAGGTACTTGAACTGCATAGTCTCTAACTATATTGTGCCATGATTTGCAGCTTTTCGCAGCAGCAGTACGAGGGTTGAAGCCGTCATGACTGCAGTACCCTGAAAATAGAACATGACATTAGGAAGTCTTGGTGTAGGGGCCTGTTTTACTAAGGTTCTGCCATGACCCAGAAGTCAGATTTGCCTTAGCTGATTGAAAGATCACAAAGCTGTGTAGAAAAGAGAGCAAATAACCGGAAGCCTTGTTTTAGACCCGTTGCAGGATTGTGTTATGGCCCATAAATACAAGAACAATTTGTACAGCTAGTGAATTCAGGAGACATCTTCGTTTCTTAACCCAGTATTTAGTTTAGTGCAGTTTTCGCTTTAGATGGAAGGGTATTGTTGTTATTCGATGCTATTTGGTTCCAGTCAATAATTGTCGTCGCAGTAATCCTGATGTACTGACAACTGAGGAATGATGTTTCAACCTGTTTCAAGTGAAATTAAGGATTAAAATACATGGTTGGTGGTAAAAAACCAATTTGATATGTTAAATTCATACATTGTGATCCCCCCAAATTCAATCAACCAGTTGGCCTAGATTTGTAGCTGTATTTAGGGGTGGACAATGGGTTGGTGCATATCGGATACACCAGATCTAATCGATGTTTGGATCGGACCACACTAAATCAAATATAATATGGTCCGGTCCTTGGTCCTATGAATTTTAAAAATACTGAAGAAAAATTGATCGAATTTACGTTTGGACGGGACCAAATGGACCAAAACGGACTGAATGCACTATTGATCTCGTCCTTGATCCTAAGATATCTTTCACAATTGGACCGTGGTTCACCTGGGTTTGGTCCGATCCGTTCCATTTCGGACCGGACCAATGCCCACCTCTAGCTGTATTTGTATACGTTTACCATTTGCTTAAGACCAAAGAGAAAGAATATGTAAATTTTTATCAAACAATTGATTTGTTTAAGAACAAATGTGAGTGAAATGATAAGGTGAAAGTATAATCATTTAGTACAATTTTTTCTTTTTTTACAGCAACATTAGTTTATTAATAATAACAAACCAATTGAAGGTTACATATAAAGGGCAAAGTCCCATGAAAGTACAACAAAGAAGTATGTAGTCCAACAAAAAAGTTTAAAAAGCTGATCAAACAACCTAGAAAAGCAGCAGAAATCCTAATGCTTGTTTTCATCCCAACGCATGCACACAAAGCCGACGTCAAAGATCCAGAGAAGATAACGTTTGCACCGACACCAGAAACAGAATGACAGAGCACAAGCAAACCGCCTGAAGCCTGTAAGGGGAGATGACAAGAGCACACAACCAAAAGAGATGAAGTACCCTCGAGGAACCAAACCATTTGAGGAGGCCAGAACACAAACTCGAACATGATCACCAAGCAGCACACTCTAGAACAAGTGGCCAGTGGTGTGACACCCGTACAGGTTATTAATCCGTTTGCACGACTTGTATTAACTAACCCATCTTGAGCCAAGTATAACTCAAGAAGGCGTTGATAATATAGTGGTCGACCAATGTCGTATTCCACGAATTTTGATATCCTAGACCATTTCTCACTTTGTTGTTATCTAGTCGTTCGGTTTAGGGTTGTTTTGGAGGTCAAATAGAAAGTACTGGTGGAGAAAGCAAAGATAAAAGCTGGTACATCGGGGTACCACCCTCGCCATAGATCTAGGTTTATCATGCAAATGGTTTGTAATGTCGGGTTTAAGGTAATAAGGTGCGAGGCTCACTAAAGTGGGGACTAACTCAATGGTCGTGCAACTAGTCCCCCTCCTAGCACGATTCCTTGACCAATTGTAACCTCAATCAAGTTCACGATGCTAGGGATGCATTCTAGACCCTTTCAATAGGTTCAACCTATTTGCACAATAGCTCGACATGTTGATGGTCACACACGCATCGCTCTAGCATTGCTTAGGAGGGCTATCCGATTTAGGAATGACAATGAGTCAGGTCTGGGGTGGGTATCTCGATACCCATACCCGCCCTGTGGCAGGTCGGGTAATTTATCATGGACCGCGGGCCGGGACAGGTCGACCGATTGGGTATATAATTGATGTGAAAAACACTAAAAATATTCATTATTTCCCTTAAAAGACCAAGAAAGAAATCATAATATGATAAAATGTAGTTAAATTATTGTGGTTGTTGCGGTCAAAGAAGAGGTGTCGGGCAAATTAATTCCTCCACCTCGTGACCGTCGTGGTATGAAAGGTAAGAGGAGAATCCCTTTGATTCCTCCTGTAGACACCACATTTTTTCCGGGGCAACAACTGTACTTAAACTTAAAAATTTTTTTATAGCGATGAATTAAATAGAATGCTTTGAAGGATTTGGTTGAGATTAGCAGTGGCTAGTCAATAAGTACCAATGACTCCAAACTCCAGTCTTATTTAGTTCTAATATAAAATTGATCAGGATTACCAGTGACGCTAATGATTAACAAGATCATTCCTATACAATTCTAGATAAATTATTTGAGATTCGCAGTGGCAAATCTAAAGCATCAATGACCAAAGCTATCCATGTCTAGTTTTAAGTTGACTCAATTGGATGAAAGCAATAGTAACTTTAATTTTTGGGATGGTTGGTTTACCGTGTAAAAGACTACCCAAGGTTTGCGCTTGGATTTGGATAGGACATAAGAGATGGGCTTAATTGAATAAAAGGAATAGAAGTTTTGTTTTGTCAATTATACATCACCATAAATGATTACATCTCGATAAAAAAAACAATGACCTTGATTAATATTCCATGAGATCTTAAAACACAATTACTAACATATACAAAAATAAAATGAGATACAACTCCAATCAAATGAAAACCCAAACTAGGCTTGAAACCCGTCTCCTTGGCGCTCAAACCAGCCACAGACCTGCAAAAGAACCAAATCGAAAATCAGTTCAGGCCCAAGAGTGAGAGTCCAATTCCAGATCTAATGCCCAATTCGAGCACAGGTTATGGCCCAGAGTCGGGCCTAGTTCAAGTCTAGAACAACACTGCAGGCCCAATTCGGCCAATAAGCTGAAGCTGACGAGTTCGGCCCAAATCCATCTCGGCCTATCTTGTCCACAACCCATTGCGCCTTTCAAGATTGGACAACAGTCTTGCAGATGCAATCTCAACAAAGACCAACCAGAAGGAAGCAACGAGGCATAGATTTTTCTATTAAATGAGCTCTCTGAGCCCTATGTGAGGGGGACGGCCTTTGGAGAGGGGGGGGGGGGGGGGGGAAGGCTAAAAAACAGAGAGCACAATTTAGAAAGCTAATGTTCATCTTTCGTGGGGGAGATTAGAGCAATATTGAAGACTTCGCTTCTAGTTACAAGAGTTGTAAGCAAGGAAAGCAAAAGCAAGATTAGGCTTCTTAGATCTGAGGTTGGTAACTTCTGTGCTCTTTTTCTCTACTTGGATAATGATATGAATCAGTTTAATTATGTCTCTTTTAATTACTTGTATGAGCAGTCCTTATTATCGAAATATGCAATGTGCTAATGCCATCATCTACTTGCATCTTGTCTTTATTTAAGTACTCTCTAATTGTCAGCTATTTATTTAATATCCAGCTTTTTCTTACCATGGTCACTCGGTATACACGGTAACTCCATTTTTTACAACACTTTATGTTCAATCAAGTTTCAATTTATGTTCTTAGCATATAATTGCTACGCTTGTAGAAAGAAGCCAAAAACACCTTTTCTTAGGGGTCATGATCTATAGATCTAGATCAATATCCAACAAAAATTACCATACATACCACAACAAATTTCATTTCATAAACACATATAAATTTTTGAATAAATACATCATAAAAATCCCAATCGAACCAATAATCACACGATTAGTGAAAACTAGTTTCTTATAGGCTAGTAATCGCAAGCAGGGGCGGCGATGACTAATGCATTAGTTATTTTTTTAACCACTTTTTTTTTAATGATAGCACAATAAGAGCCAAAGATTACAAGGATTGCCAATTTGCTATTTCATAGTAAATTCAAGATCCATAAATCCACAACCGTTTTCAAAGTCAATCCTAGTCTAACAAAAATCACAAGCCGTGGTTGTGATTATAGAACGACCTAATGATAGCATAATGATAGCATAAAAATTAAAGTGATTTATGGGTGATGTCCAGGGTTCCCAGATTTCATCCTAGATCCAGAAAATGCATATACAACCATATTTCCCAAAATACAGATTTGTAAAGTATTTCAAATCCACCGTAAATAATCTTGTTTCCAAAATACAGATTATTAGGGTATTTCAAATCCACCATAAATAATCTTGTTTTGAAATTAAAAAATCCCTAACCATACTAAACCGAGTATAGGAGAACCTTACCTAGATTGGGCTTTTCCATAACCTGCATCCATTTAGGAAAATTATCAGAATCTATCAAAGTTAGGAAGACATGTTTAAAATCGAATTAAGGAGAGTAAATACCTAGATCTCATCTCTTCGTAGTGGTTCACCATAGCCGCCGGCGAAGCCGGGATTCGCCGGCGAAATCACCCCCCATCGCGGCGGCCCCTTTTGCCTCCTCACCTCGCACAAAATCAAATCCAGGAAAAAAAATATTAGAAACCCATATCTCTAAAAAAAATAGAACAAAACCCGCATGCAAATGAAAACCTCACCTAAATCTCGTCGTCATCGATGGATAAACCCCATCGTCGGCAGCCGCCGCCCCTTTCCTTCTTTCCTCGACCGAAGCAAAACCCAGTATTCCTCAAATCAAACACAACAAAAAATCCAGAAAATTAGTAGAATCGCATAGAAAAGTCTGGAAAATAGAAATGAGAAACCATACATGTCGATTTTACCTTCATCATTAGAGGAATTCGCCGATTTGGGGTCACCGCGGTCGGATTCGTTGACCGACAACGAGGGAGAAGAGCGGCGGCAGTGGCGTTTGCCTAAGAGAGGGGAAGAGAACGAGATAGAGAGAGGGGAAGGCGACCGTTCGGCCTAGGTTAAGATCGATTATGGTTTTCTCTAGAGATGAATATATACCTCCATTTTCTAAACGACGATTTTGCCCTTAGGGTTTCGGATATATTACAGCCCTTACCATCGCGTTTTCGTGAAATTACCACCATGCCCCGCTTTGTCTCTGTGTTAAAATAAAAACCACCAAAAATCTGGAAAAATAGAAATGAGAAACCATGCATGTCGATTTTACCTTCATCATGAGAGGAATTTGCCGATTTGGGGTCACCACGTTCGGATTCGTTGACCGACGACGAGGGAGAAGAGCGGCGGTAGCGGCGTTTGCCTAAGAGAGGGGAAGGGTTTGGTTTGGGTCATTTTCTGGAAGAGTGAATCGAGAGAGGCTAGAGTGTGGCGGTGACGGACGAAAGAGAGGAGGAATCGAGTTTGTTTCCTCTCTCTCATTCTGTTCTCAGTTTTGCAGAGTGAAGAAGAGAAGAAGAAAAACGAGAGAGGAGAGATAGAGGGT